AATCTCATTCAAATGTTCAAAAGTCTCTCATCTAACCCAAAATTCTATTGCAGCAAAAAATAATAATATCATTATTAAATAACCATTCCTTGGGCTACTCAAAAGGAACATAAAGTAATTAAATCATAGCTCTCTACTGTGGAAGATGAAAACTTGAGCAGCTTATGCCACTACACCACTGACTTTGTGCTCTCTTTGTGGATTATCACCAGATTTCAACCTTTTCCTCCTCAACCTCTCTGCTATGGCGAATGCCAGCTCTAGTGACTGTGACGCATTCAGCCGAGGGTCACAATGAGTGTGATAGCGTGAATTCAAGTCATCAAAAGTTACTGTCTTCGACCCTCCGACACACTCTGTTACATTTTGACCCGTCATCTCCAGATGAACGCCTCCAGGGTAGCTCCCTTCTTGTTCATGAACATCAAAGAAGGCCCTCAACTCAGCCTGACACAGAAAAACCCCTTGTATGATTCCCAGTTATGGATGAAAAATGCCTATAGTGGCAAAACATACAATAAAAATAGGTTCTGAATTCAATGGCTAGAGTTCTTACTCTGATTGCATCAAATGGGCGCGTCTTGAGGCCGCATGGGGCTTTGATCGTATTTCCATGCATGGGATCACTAACCCAGGTGACAATAAGCCCAGCCTCATGTATAGCTCTTATCAGATGTGGCAGTTTAACCCTCATCTTGTCTGCCCCCATTCGAGTGATTATAGTCAATCTTCCAGGTTTATTATGAGGGTTAAGAATCTCACATAATTTTACAAGCTCCTTTGGGTCCATCTTATCACTCACCTACATGACAGGTGCAGCAGATACCAAACCAAAGTGAACGACTGAACATGCTCGAAAACTTCTTATTTGAAACTTAAAACAGAAAAGAAAACAAGGTAAAGCTACAGCACGTGACGCAGAGCTCAAAAAACTTGAGCTCCAGTTTTAGATGCTCTCTTTGCTACATTCTCAGTTTTCTGTTTGTTTTCCTTTTGTAAAAGCAATGGGATAACGTGAAATATAATAAGATTCAAATCTTCTTCAACCTTTTTTATCTTCCTACTGGGTCATAATCATCTAACTAGAACACAATCAAGAAAATACAGATCATGTAGCTAAGAAGATTACATTTAGCACTAACCTTAATGCCAAGAGGATTAGATACACCCCGGAGGAATTCAACATGTGCTCCATCCAACTGCCGAGTCCTCTCTCCTACCCAGAGCATATGTGCAGAACAGTCATAATAGAGGCCAGTTGTTGAATCCTCTCTGGTCAACACCTGCTCGTATGGAAGGTGAAGACATTCATGAGATGTCCAAAACTCAATTGTTCTCATTATTGGATGATCAACAGTGAGTCCAGCAGCAGCCATAAATCCAAGAGCTTCATCAACTCTCTGGGCAAGTTCCACGTACCTGTTGTTCACAAAGTGAAGTTTATTAAACTAATGCCACCTACCTAACTAGGAATTCTACATAAGACAACCAAAAGCAATCATAATAACAAGTCATATTTAAGAAAGTTTCTTGATCCTCAGATTGCAGGCTGATTTAGCTAAACCGATTGCTCATCTAAAACAAATACAGCTTAATAATTGTTTATCCCCAAAGAAACTTTTGTCTCACATGGTTAAGATAACAAACTCAAGAAAGTTGTGGAGCCAAGGGGCCTTCAAATAGAGGTACTAAGCACAGTTCAGTCACCCATCTAGTATGGGCATTAAGCATGCATTAAACAATAATCTGCAAAGTAGGTCAAGTTGGAGAAATAATAATGGACACTACAAGTAAGTATTGCATAAAAACAACGCAAGAGTCAAAATAAACAATAATCTGCAAAGCAGATAGGAACTACCTGTCTCCCTTGTTCACTATGTTGTACAAAATCAAGATTCCATTCAGAAACTCTCTGAATTGCAGCATACCCACCCGTTGCAAATGCTCTAAGTAGATTCAATGTGCCAACAGATTGGAGATATGCTCTGATCAGC